AGCAGATGTCTTCACCTCCAAACAATCATCCAAACAGAAGCAGAAGGAAAAGCAAGAGGGACTAGTGAGATCACTATTACCTCAAGCTTCAAAAGCTGCAAACAAACCTTTGGCTGATCAGTTGCTTCTAGTGCTAGAGACTAAAAATCTAGTGTTTCAAGTAGAAGGGGTCCAAAGGCTCAAAATTAATCTATGTCGGGATTTGTATGGAATGTTCGCGGCTTAAACAAAACTTCTAAGCATTCCATTATCAGGAACTGGATCAGTTTAAAAGGGTTTCAGTTCGGTGGGTTTTTGCATACGAGGGTTCAGGAAGGAAAGGTAGTGAGGGTTGCTGCATCTGTAGTCCGAGATTGGTCTCTAGTCTCGAATTATGAATTTAACCGTCTTGGCTGCATCTGGGTAATTTGGAGTCCTAAGGTGAGGGTCATAATATTTTTTTAAAAAGTGGTCAGATGATTACGGTGTCAGTAAAGCTAGAAGATAGAGATGAGGAATTTTTCTGCTCTTTCATCTATGTTTCCAATTTTTTGGACGAAAGGCGTGAGCTGTGGAGAGATATAAGGGATCACCACAACTCTCTGATTATTCGAGCTAATTCATGGATTTGTCTGGGAGATTATAATGAAATTCTGGATATGGAGGAGCACTCTGATTTCGATCACTCACATCAGCTTACTGTGGGTATGAGAGAATTTCAAAGTGTGGTGACTTGGAAGATTTGGCATTTCATGGTCCAACTTTTATGTGGTGTAATAAGAGAGAAGAGGGTCTGATATCGAAAAAATTAGACAAGGTTCTGAAGAATCCATGTTGGTCTCAAAAATTTCCTCAGTCCTAGTGTTTATGAAGCAGGTGGATGCTATGATCACTTGCAATGTCGATTTCATTTAGAAGTGGAACAACCACCGGTTAAGCGACCTTTTAAGTTCGTAAATTCACTTGTAGAGCTCGAAGAATTTAAGCCTATGGTGGAGGGTTTCTGGAGTACTACTCAGTCAACATTCCTATCTACCTCCTCTATGTTTCGATTCTGTAAAAAGCTGAAAGCGCTCAAACCCCTCATCCATTCTCTGGCAAAGAACAGAATGGGAAACTTAACAAAAAAAACAAAAGAAGCTTTCAAAGATCGATGTGAGAAGCAGGAGGTAAATGCGTTTAAACCTTTGACACGGAACATAGAGGACGAGAAGATAGCTTATCGACGATGGGATTTCATCTCGAGGTTGGAAGAGAGCTTTCTAAAACAGAGGTCTAAGATTAATTGGCTGAAGGTTGGGGATGGAAATAACAAAACCTTACACAAAGATGTGGTTTCGCGTGAATCAGTCAACTCGATAAGAGAGATTAAGCGGTGAGATGGAGTTATGGTTTCAGGTCAAGATGATGTTAAAGCAGAAGCAGAGGGTTTCTTTAGAGACTTCCTTCAACATATTCCATCGGACTTTGAAGGAAGCTCAGTGGAGATGTTGGAAGATCTTTTAAAGTTCCGATGTTCTGACGCTGAAAGGAATTCACTAGTAAGTACTGTTTCTGAAGAAGAAATTACTAAGGTTTTGTTTGCAATGCCAAGTAATAAATCTCGGGGTCCAGATGGGTATAATGCAGAGTTTTATAAGGCAGTGTGGTCCATTGTTCGTAAGGAATTCATCATAGCAGTTCAATCTTTCTTTGAGAAGGGGTTCTTGCCAAAGGGAGTGAACTCCACCATCTTAGCATTGATACCTAAGAAGGTATCTACAGTAGAGATGAAAGATTATCCCCCATCTCTTGCTGCAATGTCATCTATAAGGTCATTTCAAAAATCCTAGCTAATAAACTGATGAGCATCCTCCCAAAGTTTATAGCTATGAATCAATCTGCTTTCATTCAGGATTGGCTGCTTATAGAGAACCTACTCTTAGCTACTGAGCTCATCAAAAACTATCATAAAGATTCTATCTCTGTTCGGTGTGCCATCAAAATCGATATCTCGAAAGCCTTTGACTCAGTGCAATGGCCTTTTATTCTTAATGTGCTCAAAGCCATAAATCTTCCAGACGTATTCATTCATTGGATATCATTATGCATTACCACACCATCTTTCTCTGTCCAAGTTAATGGAGAACTCGCGGGTTTCTTTTGCAGCAAATGGGGATTACGGCAAGGCTGTTCTTTATCGCATTATTTGTTTGTGATTGGCATGAACGTGTTGTCAAAAATGTTGGATAAGGCGGCAAGTATTCATCGCGTTGGTTATCACCCGAAGTGTAAGAACATTGGGCTCACCCATCTCTGTTTCACAGATGATATTATGGTCCTAACTGATGGGAAAGTGAGATCAGTCAAGGGATTTTCGAGGTGTTCGAGGAGTTTGCTAGGATATCTAGGCTTAGAATCAGTATGTAAAAATCGACAATGTATCTCGCGGGAGTTACAGATTATGTTCGTACAGAGCTGAGTACCAAGTTTCACTTTGAATCGGGAAAGCTTCCAGTTCGCTATCTGGGATTACCACTGCTCACCAAACAAATGACAAGCACCGAATTTGAACCCCTGTTAGAGAAAATACGGAAAAGAATCAGCTCGTGGACTGCGCAAGCACTATCGATTGGTGGTCGACTTCAGTTAGTTCACTCGGTACTGCACAGCATTACAAACTTCTGGCTCTCGGCTTTTTATCTCCTGAGAATGTATCCAAGAAATTGAAAAATTTTGCTCAGATTTTCTTTGGTCTGGACCTGAGCTTAATCTAAAGAAAGCAAAGATGGCATGAGAAGATGTTTGTAAACCATACGCAGAGGGAGGTTTGGGACTCAGACCTTTAAAAGAAGTAAATACGGTGTGCTGTCTAAAACTGATATGGAGAATCGTTTCATCTCATCCGTCCCTTTGACAGGGTACTCTTTGGTCAGTTGATTCTAATACAAAATCTGGTTCTTGGATGTGGAGGAAAATTCTAAAGTACCGTCAACTTGCAAGCTCTTTCTATAGAATGGACATTCAGAGTGGAGACAACACAAATTTCTGGTATGATAACTGGTCAGACTTGGGAAGACTTATAGACCTCACTGGGCTAAGAGGAAAGGTAGAAATGGGTATTCAATTAAATGCTTCCATTGTTGGTTTGTCGACGACGGCGTCACCAGAATGAGGTTCTCAATGATATTCTGCTGCACTTACGATTAACTCAGCTTAAGCCACTCTATGGACATTGTTTTGTGAAAAAGTAAGGAGCGAACTTTTAAAGCAGATTTCCACTCGAAGAGCATATGGCGCCTCACGAATTCGCCAAAAATTGGTACTCTGGAGTCTGGTTTAAGCACTCCACTCCCAAATTCTCGATTTTTTCATGGTTAGCTATTCATGATCGGTTGTCGACGGGAGATCGTATGCAATTGTGGAATGTTGGAGCGAATGCAACTTGTATTCTCTGCAATTCTCCATTAGAGACTCGGGATCACCTGTTTTTTTCGTGCTCGTTCTCCGTTGAAATATGGACTACTCTAACAAAGGATTTACTCAAGGGGAGCTTCTCAATTGTTTGGCAGGATTTGGTTCATCTTATATCTGTCTCTCAGCTTGATCATGATACTCTGATTCTGCTTCGATGCACCTTTCAAGCTGCCATCCACTGCATTTGGCGAGAGCATAATAATCGACGACATGGTGAAGATCCTCGACCAGCTCGAAGTGTGACCCACCAGATTGACAAGTTTGTGTGTTGAATGATCCAATCTATTCGGGATGTTGGGGATCGGAAGTTTGCTGATACTCTCCAACTCTGGTTTGCAACAAGGCGATAAAACTCTTGGTTAAATCACTCTATATTATATGTTTCTAATCCAGTTGATTAAAATGTTGCTCTTCTGATGTAAACACGACTTTTTTTTATATTTGAATATGATTTTACACTCTTTAAAAAAAAGCATTAACAGTCTACTATGACTGTTTTCAAGATCCCGAAAGGTATATGTGAGGAGATAAATAGCATTATGGCAGAGTATTGATGGATTAAAGGTTTAGATCGAAGGTCAATGCATTTAGTATCCTGGAAAAATATTAGGATTACCAAAGAAGGAAAGGTTTAATGTTTTGAGATATTGAAAATTTCAACTTATTATGCTCAGTAAACAAGCTTGACCTATATTGTAACCACCAACTAATCTGGTCTCTAGACTCCTCAAAGGACTATACTTACATGGGATATTCTAAGCTTAGTTCACGTTCAGTACCTGAGCATTTTCTTTGGCGACTTTTATGGCAATAGGGTCTGTTCTTAAACATCGAAGCATGATTTCTGATCCAAAATGGCGAAGATGTTGCACCTATGATGAAACCGTTGATCACATTTTCTTCAATTGTGAATATTCTCAACCTATTTGGAGAGGATATCAAGGTGCTAATCAGGTCTTAACGGACCCCAAATGCTACTTGTGAAGATACGTTTCGTACAATCTTAGCCTGCAACAAGAATGGAAGCCTCACCAAACATGAAGCTGAATTACAGGCTCTACTAATGGCGATGCATCTAATGTGATCAAGAGGCTATTGAAAATTTATTTTTGAAAGAGAAAATCAAATGGTCTTTAAACTAGTCAATGGAGTTGAGAAGAATTTCAGAGTTCATAACTGGATTAGTGACATTCTCCTATAGAAAAACAAATGTGATTCAACCCATTTTTGATTGATCCCAAGGAATGATAATAAAGCTGCAGATCAACTGAACTCACAAAGGAAGCTATTTCTTCAACTTTTCCTATTGTTTTTCATTACTGTGTCCCAAACAGTATTGTACAAATACTCCATAAGGATAACTATCATTTCTTTGGAACTCAGTAATAAAACAGATAATATTGACGTTAAAAAAATGAAAAATACGATGGCAATACATAAAATTTTCATACAAAAGTTTAACCAATTAATCTTTATACAAAGTTGTCCCTAAATTCTCTCGGCTTCAAAGGACTTTACTCAAAATTGAACCAATTAATCTTTATACAAAAATGCACTTCAATTCATTAAACCGCTTCTACCCAGAACCTGCTCTGCTTCAACCTCAATACTTTACTCAAAATCTTTTTAACCTCTGGAAAATTCTTCAGTTTTAGAGGCTTCTTCTCTGAGATATCCATTGATTTCTTTGAACCTCTCCTGTTTCTTAACTTCAATAGAAACGATTTCTTTGATGCAAAAATCTTCTCCTCCGTTTTCTCCTCTTCTTCTCGATGCAAAAACCGATGAAACAACAGCTCATACGCACTTCCTCTCTTCTCAGGTCTCTTTGAGAAACACGTTTCAATAAACTTCCTTGCATCACAAGGCAAGCTCTCTGGAATCTCTGGAACTTCACCATTACGGAGACGAGTCGCGAGATCATCGAGTTCAACCCCATGCCATGGAATCACACCTGTGTACATCTCCAAAACCAAGCATCCCAACGACCAAAGATCTAGAGTTTTCTTCGCGTCGCCATCACGGAGAGACTCCGGCGACATGTAAATCGGCGTTCCAATAAACGGGAAATCGATTCCCCAATAATGAGGTTTCTCTCCGACTTGCAACGAGTTTCCGAAATCAGAGATCTTCAGTTCGTAAGAAGAAGAATCTTTACACGGGAACACAAGGAGGTCGTCGGATTTGAGATCGCAATGAACATAACTGTGGTTGTGAATCGAAGTCTTGGTCGTAAGAGTTTTTTACGGCGGCGAGAAACGAAGAGCCGTCGTGTTTTGTGTATCTGACGAGATAAACATAACCGTAAGAACCTTCACCTAAGAACTTGACGAATTCTTCGTCTGAATATTGCATCTTTAGGGTTTCGAAAGTGAGTTTACAAGAAGAAATTGAATCACTTGAGAAATTTGCAGCCGACAGAGAGAAAGTGGAAAACAAAACAAATTGGTAGGAGAGAAAAATGGAAGGCAAATTGTAGACTTTTATAGAATTATTAGGGTTAGGCGGTGTCTATATTATGTATTGGAAAATATTGGCCTAGGGCCTAATTTTAATAAAATACTTATAAAAACTTATTTTTTTTACAAAATATATTATACTCTGTAATTTGAATTTGAAGTTTGCGTTTAATTTTTCTTTTTATTCATAAAAAACTTTAAAAAAACTAACTAATATAGTTTGTAAATTTATATTTTATTCATACAAATTTTTTTCAACAAATTGATTATGGTGAAAACCATTTCTGATTTAGTGGTAATTTTGAATTAAGACTAATTGGATAAAATGATTATAGAGAATTTGTATGTTATTATTGTTTAGTGATTATGATCATCTTTTTCATCTTTTATTTTTAATTGAATATTATATTATAAAGTTAGTTTTTAAAAACGAATAAACTGAAAAAATAAACAAAGCAATAACTACATAATAACTACATCGTTCAAAGTCTACAACCAAATTTATTTAAAGTAAATGAAAAATTTAGATATTCAAAATTACAATTTGAGATCACCTATTTATTAACTAGTTCATATTCAAATTTTAAAGATAGGCTAGTTTTGATCTGGTTTAATATAATCAAAAACTATAGTTAATAAAAGTGAATTTGGTTGGTTTGTGATGTTTCTTATTTTGCTAATAATTAATATTTAGTAACTTTTATTAAGCATAGGACGAAACTATATAAAAAAAAAATTGGTTCATAAAATATATTTGTAAAACTTTGAAGAGTTATTGAGTTTTTCATCCAACGAACATCGAAGTTTGATTTACTACAAATACTTACTTATGTTAATTTATAGATGATTTTTTTTACATACTAAACTACAAAATGGGTAAACCAAACTAATATTTACATATTAGACTATTTTGCATGTTGATTTGGATACAATCCCATTTAGCATGTGTTTGAGTATTTGAGTTCATAATATTTTGAAAGATCAATATTTTCACATATTTATTGTTTTATATACTTTATTAAAATTGAACAATGATCAAAATTTCATTACCAATTTTTTGCACGATCATTTTGTTTTGTTTCAACTTTTTAAAAACTTACGAGAATTTCTGATTATGGTCTTTATTAGTCTAAGCATGTCTCTGATTAGGGTACAAGTCGGTGACAAGATTTGGACCGTTGGATTCTATTGTCCTGTTGCTTTTTAGTCATATTGTAATGAGTAAGGAAAAAAAGGAAATTGCAATGCGACAAAAAGAGAAAAAGGAAACTTTTAAAGTCAGCTTCTCGGCGATTTCTATTTAGTTGTGTCGAACCGTGAACTGATGACATTTCCGGTTCTCAAAACTAGTGACCCCAAACGAATACAAATTGGCCGATTCCCGGTTTTGACAAAATTGAATCAAGAATTTCATGCCAAGGATTGAAATCTCATCATGGTTAAACTCTTGCTGATATCTTTCTCTCGTGCCAAGTTTGTTGTCCATGAGAAAATTACGATCACTTTGGTCATCTACGAGGATGTTAATTAATTGGAGATTTGCAAGATGATGGAATCCACATCGATCGTACTGCTTCCTTCGTGGAATCATCATCGTCAGGGAGAAGATTATATGATGGAGAATAAGCTATGGAAGCTCAAGAGCAGTCGTATTTGCTATGCATATGTCTGATATTCTTGTTCCTCGTCTCTTCCGATGAATGATGGAACAAGCTTCTCTTAAACCATGTTTAATGGGAGTTCTTAAGGGAAATTCTTAATTTTTTGTGTTTAAAATTAATCAAAATCACCTAAATAACTAAGAATCGGTTTTTATTTAAGGATTTTAAGAATGGATTCTTAATAAAGGTTCTTAGTCATATGTATATTTCTGATTGGATAGAAAGAAAGAGAAGAAATTATTTATATGTTAACTCCCTATGATTTATAAAGTCAAATAAATCATTTATATGCTATTATTTTTTTACTTTTTTTCTTCATAAATTATAAAATAAAATTATCTATTTAACAAACTTCATTATGCATATATTTAAATTATATATTAATATTATATTTAATGAATATAGTTAAAATTAAAAATAATAAATTATTACATATTTTGATTAGAATAATGATATGAATATTAAAAATCTATGTTTAAAATGTTTTTATGTCAAGTATGTTTTACTCTAAAAATAAATTCTACTTACAATAAAACAAAATTATTAATTTTTTTTTTAAATTTCTAATGGGGTTTTACCATTGAAACAAATAAATAAAAAAAAATTAAATAAAAATTTTTAACAAAAACTTTATAATTAAATATTAACCAAGAACCTCTTATGGAGTTCTTACATTGAACATGCTCCTAAGAACATTGGAGATTGTGAATATGATAAGAACCGGAGAGATAAGATTAGGCAGGGTAGAGATTATATAAGGGTCTGAGTCATTTGTATATCCAAATTGTTGGCAACAAGTTTCTCTTAAGAACATTTGAGAGCTTTGAAGTTTAGTTGAATAAGCTTAATACAATTTCACTTATAGCCCTTATGTTTGAGTTAGTACCACAAAAATATCATATGGTAGGGACATTAGAGATTGTGAATATACAGTATCACCTCTATAAATTAATAATCATTATAAATAAATCAATTATTTTGGTCTCGAGTCGGGTTAATGTAAAAATTCATCAAATTCGATAAGATAATAAGATAATAATTTTTTTTAAACTCATATGTAAAAATATGGTCACAACATAAACATAAATTAATAATTATATAAAATTTTGTATATATATAGATAATATATAATATACTAAAATATGATTAATGTGTTGTTTGTTTTTATTTAACTTTGAGATTTTATTGAAATCATCTTTTTTCTTATTTACATCAATAACTTTTAATGTTATTTTTTTTTTATCTCTATTCAAAATTTGTGAACACAATTTAGATGTGATAAATGATTTTATTACGCGTAACTGTTTTGAAATATATTATGGTATTGACTTTAATTTCAGCACCAATATAGAGGATATTAGCCATAATATTTTATAAATTTTGTACTAATAAATATTGATATTCTTACATATATAATTTAATACAAAATTAACAAAAAAATAACTTATTTTTGTCGACAACAAAGAAATAACTATTCTATTGCAATTGCTATGATTAGTAATCATAATTTTAAGTTTGTACATATCATATGAGTTTACATTCTTAAATATAACATTATCTGAAAGAAAATTTAAAAAGAAAATTGATGAAAAACAATTTGTTTCAATAAATTAATAATTATTGATTTATGGATAAACTAATATCATGATAAATTAATAAAATATTGTGATTTTTACATTATTAATTTATAGAGATTTTACTGTAGTAAGAACCGGGGAAAGAAGATTAGGCAGGGTAGACATATTTAAGGGTTTGAGTCATTGGTGATATCCAAATTGTTGGCAACAAGTTTCTCTTAAGAACATTTGAGAGCTTTGGAGTTTAGTTGAATAAGCTTAATACAATTTCACTTATAGCCCTTACGTTTGAGTTACTACCACAAAAATATCATAAAGTCGAAGAGAAAATTCGATTAAAATGGAGCAAGTGAACAGGAAAACAACATAAAGAATACTAGCAATACAATTAAACAAACAATCAACAATTTCTGATTATTAAGTCGAAACTACAACAACACATTTATTGTTGTCTGAAATCGAACTCAGGTCACGTAAGATTGTTGCTACCGCATGATTCTTGCTCTTCCAACGAACCACCTCTCTTCAAAGTCACATACTTCTCAAAGCTTGGTTCCATCAAATCCGCTTTCTTCACAGTAGATGTGAATCTAAACTGGCTCGAATCAGAGCTCAAAGAAGCGTTAAGATCCGCCACTGCTTCAACAATGGAGCAAGCTTTTGTAACACAAGATGGAAGAAGATTAAACGAAACCTCAGGATCCTCAGTACTCTTCCCATGGAAATTCTTAATGTCTTTTAACAACAACGCAGTGTAATTGCTTGTCGTGTTCTTGTCTTCTTCCGGCTCTGGAACGAAATCGAAATCTCGAGATTTTCTCAGTGATCTACTTCTGCTTATCGCTTTTGGCGGTCTCGCGAGTTTCTGATTCGCAGATTCGTTGCAATTTTCTCTCTTTATCATCTTCTTGTTGCAATTGTCCACTTTTGTTAAGTTTTGATCGATTTCTCCGAGTGGGTTTCTCCTATACGGCGATTGCTCCGCCTTCCGTGAAGAGCTTCGGCTTAACGTCGGCGGCGGCAGAGGAGCCTGAACATTATTCGCCGATGTTCTTGCCGGAGACGCGGCGGCTCTACAAGCTTCACCGATGTTTCTTTTCACAGTAATCCGTTTAGTCGAGGAATCTCCGTTAATGTTGCTCTTATCCGTCGCCGGAACTGTAACAAACTTTCCCGGTCTAATTCCGTTTGAATTTACCGAAACGCCACTAGGGTTTGTCGTCTCCGATCGTTTTCCCGGAGATCTGCTCACACGTCTGCTTCCACCGCCGCTACCGTTTCCTCTCTCTCTGCTCCCTGATCGGTAACTCTTTGAATCTTCTCTTTCTCTGCTCGGACTTCGTCTTCTCCGTTCACGAGGCGAACCATTCACTCTCTCTACTCCACGGTGGCGATTCCTTTGTGGCGTCTTCCTCTCCGTCACTTCCTCCTCCGCATCGCCGCCGCCAAAGTCGCGGATCCTCTGGTTCTGGTCAAAATCGAAACTTCTTTTCGAGCCAGAATATCTCCTTGTTTTAGCGGCGGAGTTGCTCCGGCTTAGCTTCCCACATTGTATCAGTATAGCATCAACTTCTTCTTTCGTGCAGCTTGATGTCCTCACCACGACGGAGTTAGAGTTCGAATCGATTGGTTTCTCCGCCGCCATAGAAGCTGGAGGTTCCTCCTCTGAGTCTGTCTTCTTTGATCTCTCATGGCTCTTCCTCACCGAAACTTCCTTCGTTGCAACATTTTCTTCTTCTTGATGGAATTTATCAGATATTATGGGTTTAGCTTCTTCTCTTGATTGATTCTCCAGCAGCTCAATCACCGGTTTAATGGGTTTTTTGGGATCTGGGGTTTTAACAGCACAAGAGGTGCCATTGGAGAGAGAATTTGAAGGAGGAGAAGGAGAACGTTTCTTACTGAGACAGCAACCCATTTCAGCTAACGAAATTTGTGGAAGAACAGAGAGATTTGAGGGGAATGTCTTTGAGTAAAATGACAAAAAGATTTCAAAACTTCAAATTTTCTGAGAATATTATTAGTTTACTGACACAAATCCTTTTATTTTAGAAAACATTCAGATTGGTCCATTTAATCCCCTTTATGAATCGTGGGGTATGAATGCAATTTTTGAAGAAGATTGTTATATTTTTATTTTAATAAAGATTTTGAAATTGTTTTTTCTTTTCTTTTAATGCGATTTAGTTACAGATATGAATCCTTGTATTTCGGATTCGCTTCCCCCTCTTTTACTTTCTCAAATTAATCACCTTTATGAACTGTGGGGTTCTGATTTCAACATTTGAAGAATATTAGGAGTTAAATTGAAATGAATTTATTTTATTGAATATAGAGAGTAATTTTGGAATTGCTTTTATGGGATTAATTTTAATGGGATTACTGACAGACATTAATCTTTTGTATTTCAGAATACATTCGGATTGGTCCCTATTAATTTCTCAAATTACTCCCCTCTGTGAAACGTTAGGGTAAGAAGATTCCAAAGATTAAAAAAAATTGGGGTCAAATTGAAATTAGTATATTTTGTATAAAGACAGAACGGTGAGTGAGTAATTTTGAAATTTCCAACGCAGAGGCAAATGGAGCCAGTCGTTGGAGATGAAAGAGAGGCACAACAGTCAATGTCGTATTATTTCTGACCCTCTCTTTTTTGAAAGCAGAAATTGTTTTGCTACAATTTTTTAGAAAAAAGTTTTAATATTGTGGTTTGATCCAACGGCTAGTTGCATGTTCTGTTAGGTTACAAAAAGAATCTCTACATTAGTAAGACACTCTAAAAACTTGTGATGCTATAAATTAAGATATAACAGTTGGTCTTGTAGACCTATCTGCTATCTGCAATCCATTGATTTTAAGAATGTTGCGAATGTTATCTTATCGAGTTTATAAATAAATGATACGCAAAGAACTGGTAGAAGTTTCCCAAATTCGAATACGTTTAAGTAGGATCTTATTATCGATCTTGTTTTCAATATTCTAATAGAAGATAATTATGGTTGTATCTTTTTAGTCATAACCTTTGTGTTTGTACCTTTTTATAACTATTTATTTTTATTAAATATTAGATAATTATCTGCATATATGTAGGTTAATTTTATATTTTATAACCCATAAAAATATAAAAAAAACTAAAAAAAAAAATTAGATCACCCATGGTTAAACGTTTTAAAACAAAATTAGAAATGAATAAAAATAGATCACTTGTAATTAAACTTTTTCAATGATGTAAAAATAAGAATAGAAACAGAAAAATAACAAAACCAAAATTAAATCACCCTTGATTAAGTTTTTTCAATGATTATATATGTTTTTTTTAATGATTTTTCAATGATTATATTTAGTTTCATCATACATCATTTACACTTCTTACAATGACTATATTCGTTATTCTAAACTGAATATAGTATTTTATTTTTAATTTCTTTTCCTTTTAAAGATTGTTATCTTTCGTTTAATTTTTTATTCTAATTTGAATTATATATTTTTCCGTTTTATAAAAACAGTTTTTTTTTTGAAACTCTGATTTTTAACCAAAAGTACTATTTTTTAAGCTTATAGGATTAGGAGGCTTTTATAAATTTATTTTTCTTGTTAATATCTTGTGTTAAAATATAATTAGAGATTTATTAAACATGGATCAAAATTTAATTAGAAATTCATTAAACAAATGCCAAAATCTTGTCAATTAACTTAACACGTGTCACGGGCGAGTTACTAATTTTGAATCATTTTTTTTTATATAATAAGATTTTCTTTTAATTATTTATGTTTTTTTATTTATTTGTACATTTCGATTCATAACCAATTATTTCAATAAAGATTATTTTTTATGATTTTTAATTTTATGATTTTCCATTTCATCACTTATGTCTTTATGATTTTATTATTTTTTTCGTACATCTTTTCATTCACAAATATTAATTATAAAATGCACTCAAATGATAATTTTGAAAAACAACATCATACACATTATTTTTATGTTAGAAAACTTCATATCTTTCTCGTAAAAAATGATTCCCATATACAATTTTCTAAGTGTCTCTTCGACTTGTTATCTCTCAGACATAGTTTACTTTATACTTCCACTAGTCGAAAATAGTTTTGAGAGAAAGTGATGGTAGATAACTAGTCCTAACCCTGTTCTAAAGTTTGAGCACATATCCTCATAACTTCACCCTCTCTAACCTGTCAAAACTTTAGTTTCATTTTCTCAATTTCAAACTGATTTCCTTATTTTCGTCTAATTAAGGATAAGTGGAAACGCAGCTATAGAGTTTTAGATCGACGACAAGAGCTTTACTATCTTGGTGGTACATACGCCAGAGCAACTGTTCTCGCCGCCGGTGGAACAATAAATCCCTTAGGGTCAATACACAGGCACGATGCTGTGTGAGCCAAAACTGACACAACCAGAAATTTGTCCAAGGAAAAATAAGGGATTGGAAACTTTTAGGGTTTATCGCCAAAAACAGTAAGATCGAAAGAAAATTCTTCTTGCTGCAAAAGTGTTTAGCTCTTATTGCTTAGGGTTGTCAAAGTTGGCGGAATGAATTGCATACATCATATATTTATACTAACTTTCTAAACCGCCTAGCCGAAAATCTCGGGCGAGATTTTCGGAATATTTCTTTATCGCCTCGTGCGGCTGACTGCCTTTGCATCTCGCCTAAGGTTTTCCATGGGCTTCATCTCTCAAGGCTTTGGTTCGGCCCGTCCAAGCTTCTTTACGGCTCGGCCCATCTAGCCTTCTTCACGGCTCGGCCCACTTGCCATGGAGACATGATCTAGCCCACCGCACCGATACACGGCTCGGCCCAAAAGTGTTGAAGTGGGGCTCGGCCCATTTCTTTCGATGCGGCTCGGTCCACCTGTCTTCTTTCACGGCTCTCCCTACTGGCTTATCTGCACGGTTCTCCCATTTGTCTTGGTGAGAACGGCTCTCCACTTGTCATGGTGAGAACCTGCTCTCCCACTTGGCGACCACGGCTCTCCCACTTGGCGACCACGGCTCTCCCACTTGGCGACCACGGCTCTCCCACTTGGCGACCACGTCTCTCCCACTTATCTTTCTTCCATACTTAGCCATTCTGAGGTGGTTTATCTACTTGGGGTGAAAACCGACCCCAACAGTTAGCCCCCCAGCTCGTCAGTTTCGGAGGCGAGAGTGACGAGGTCCATTATTTCCGACCGTAGGATAAACCACTGAGTTAGGCGCCGAGGCGTTTTGGGAATGAAGATGCCGAGGCGTTCTGGGAATGAAGACGCCGAGGCGTTTTGGGAATGAAGACGCCGAGGCGTTCTGGGAATGAAGACGCCGAGGCGTTTTGGGAATGAAGACGCCGAGGCGTTCTGGGAATGAAGACGCCGAGGCGTTCTGGGAATGAAGGCGCCGAGGCGTTCCCAAGGAGTGCCGAGGATGCCGAGGCAAGATTAAGGACGAGGCGATTTTTTTAATAGTGATAGCCCATGACGAGGTGATTTGAGGAGGTTATGCCGAGTCGAACAAATGGCGAAGCGTTTCGAGAGAAAGCTCGTGCCGAGCTGTTTTGTTAGCGGCAAGGCGTCTCAAGAAAGAATGTCAATGCCGAGCCGTTTCGTTAACGACGAGGCGTTTCAAGAAACAGATTCAACGCAGAGCCGTTTCGTTAACGACGAGGCGTTTCGAGAGAACATATTCAATGTCGAGCCGTTTCATTAACAACGAGGCGATTCAAGAGAGAAAGAGTCAATATCGAGACGTTTTGTTAACGACGAGGCGTTTCGAGAGAACAGATTCAATGCCGAGCCGTTTCGTTAACGACGAGGCGATTCAAGAGAGAAAAAGTCAATACCGAGCCGTTTCGTTAACCTGGGTACCCTGACTGTTGGTCTTTCGAGAGGAAATTCCTGATCCTTCGGCGCATGCCAATGACGCAGCCCGGTATAGCCAATTCACCGCGGATCCCACGCGCTGTTGGACGGCTTCCTGAGGTTTACGCGGAATTCACGCGCTTCGTTTTTCTATAAATAGGTGAGCTCCTTCACTCTTCCTCATTATTTCCCGACTCACTCGTTTTCACTAAAGGTAGCTCTCCCTTCTCTCTTCTTTCTCTCTCTAGTTTATTTATTTTCTGGCTAGGGTTTCCGAGGTCTCCGCCGTTCCAGATCTTTTTCCGGTAGAGGCTCGCCGAGTCGCGCTGTAACTCTTGTAAAAGTCGTAAATTATGTCGAGCTGTTCCGACGATTCGTTGGATTCACTTTTTCACTACGAGCCGAGCCGCGTAGATGCCGAGGCGAGAGGTACGGCAGAATCCTCCGAGGCGTCTGCTTCGCCGAGCCCCTCCAATCACTCATCTGACGAAGCGTCGAACCATGAAAACCCATCAGATGTCGGCTCTCCGGATGGGGAGCCGTCGGTTTCGACGAGCCGTCCACAGGATCCCGTTCCTAACGAGGACATTAACCGCACCGCGCTCAAGGCCGAGTAGGAGGCATTTCCCTTTGATCTTTTCGAGGCGTAGCTTGAATTGGAACGCCTCATGGCGTCCCGAGGCGCTTCCACATCTGGGCGAGGGCCGAGAGTTAAGAGACAAAAACCTGACCCGCCTGGATCTACACTCTGCTCCCTTGAGTCGCTTGAGGCGTTGAGGCATCGCTTCGGAATATCCGAGGCGGTGGAGTTTGTCGTTCCCGAGAAGAGCGACCGAGCCGACAAGCTTCCAGAGAATCACTTCACTCTGTACGAGGCGTTCTTCAAGCTTTGCTTCCTCTGGTTCCCGATCCCCGGGGTGATCCTCGAATACCTTTGGAAACACGAGATCTCGATTGGGCAGATTATGCCGAGGGGATTGCGGCATATGATCGGCATTTTAGTCCGAAACTTCGAATGCGGTCTCGACATCGAGCTGAACCATCTGCTGAACTTGCTGGAAATCAGGAAAGCCCCGAAAGGAAATAGGTTCTATATTTCCAACAAGGCGAAGCGACGAATTATTGGCGGTTTTCCCAGCAAGGATCAGTTTTGGACTGAACGCTTCTTCTACGTCTTGGTGAACGAGGCGTCGGTCGGCGAAGATTACGTTCACTGAACCAAGACAGCTTGGGGACCACTTGGTAGCCGACCCGAAGCTTTGCCTCGGCTCGGAGATTCAGTTGATAATTATTCCTTTTCTGAGACTTTTGCTTTTTTTTTTGCTTTGTTTTGCAGTTCGGTGCTATCTTCCCCCGATTCCCAACGATCTCTTTACTGTTCGAGACTCTCTTTCGGCGCGGAAGGTTAATTGGAGAAAAAACTTCACCCTCGAAAGAGTAGAAAAGGCGCGAGCCATCCTTGCCGGAGTCCCCGTCAGTTCTTCGTCCTCCAGTTCTTCGAGAGATACCCGGGAGAAGATGGTAGTAATCGCCCTCAGAGAAAGGAAGAGGCGCGAGGAAGAGGAAGCCGCTAGACGAGCTGCCGAGGCGGCTCGCACGCAAACCGAGGTGGTTCCGGTGCAAGCCAAGGCAGTCTCAGCGCAAACCAAGGCCGTCCTTCAACCCGACCCTCCGAGCCGTGAAGGGGATGTGATGATCCGAGCTGCAGAAGGCAACGCTGCCGAGGCGGTCGAAAAAGAGACAGCGTCCGAGGTAGAACCGGGCGAGATAATCCCCGAGGCGTCAGGGGACGACTCGGCGGCGCGGAGCAAAACACCTTCGCACTCCGCCATTCTGGCTTTCTCGAAGTCGACGAGGCCGCCGACTTCGGTCGTCCAGAAGCATGACCCAAGCCGAAAGCGTTCGGCTGCCGACAAAGGGAAAGGCGTCGCCGTTCAAAAGGACGAGCCGGCGAAGAAAAGGCGAAATCCGACGCCAGGGGACCCTGCTGCGCGTAAGTTGGTCGTTGACGACCCTGACGCCTCGGCCGTCATGTTCTCGCGTGTTAGTAACGCGAACACGCGCCTTCCCCCTCCGGAGAAGCTGAGGAGGCCGAGGTCATACGGCGCGATGGCACAGTGCAGTACTAAGGTGCGTTTTATTTGCCTTCCTTTATTTTCGCAAATTTTTACTAAGTGTTAACGCGAGTTTATTCTTTGCAGTTTGTCACGGCCATTAATGACCTGATGGCCGAGTACGAGGTGGACCTTTCTAAAGTTGAACGTCGCTTGGACGAGGCCCGAAATGAGACCGCGGCGTCAAAGGTGAAGCTGGAAGAGGCGCAAAACGAAGCCGCGACAGCGAAGGGGAAACTCACCGAGGCGATGACTCGAGTGTCGAGGTTGGAAGAGGAGAAGATAGTTCTCCGAGCAGACGTCAACAAAGTTTCCGCCTCGGTGATTCGCCTGGAGGAAGCAAGGAGAGCCAAAAGCGCCTATGTGGCATTGCTTAAGAGGCGCATCGAGGCCAAGGACGCGCTGTTCGAAGCCAAGGTCAAACGCGCGAAGAAGGAGGCGAGGCGCGAGCTGACGGCGAAGTTTCAGGAACGCCTCGCTAAGGTGGAGGAGGGTTTGGTCAAGCTCGAGAAGGCCAAAAATGATGAGAACGATCTGGGACAGATCAAGGGCAATCTTGCGATGATTGCCGACCTGAAGAAGCCGGACGCCCAGACGCTTGACGACGAGTAGGCGAAGCTGAAAAGCTGGGAGAGTGAGTATGCCGACGACGAGGCGTACGAGCGTATCGCTTCTGAGATTCGGGGCGAACTGTATTACTCTCCCATATCGCCGGGCTCGGTTGACACAACCCTCGGCAACAAGCCGATCGAAGAAACAGCGGCCAATTTAGGCGTTGTGGACCCGAATGGCTCGAACGCGGGTACGCCGATTCCCTCGAACCTTCTCGCCGATCGTGAAACGCAGTCCGCGGCATGAGTTTTGGCTCACAGATTTTTCTTGCTTGCTTTTGTACTTAGGATTTTATCCGCTCTCTTTTGAACTTTTATGTGTTTTGTGCCTAGACGGCTTTATCCACCCGACTCTTTATTTTCGCTTAATGGATATATTTTCCTTAGATGCCATTAATTTGTAAAAGTGTTTACGAAAAATTGCCAAGGACGAAGGCTGTTATGTTGATTTTTTCCTTAACTGTATTTTTGAAATTGACCGGAACATGGGCTAAGGGATGAATTGTTTTAAGGACCTCGTTTAGGTTATAGGCAAATTTTTGATAGTAAAAGAGTGTTACGCGATAATGTTTAGGCAAGTCTTTGCTGGTAGTGCCGAGCCGTGTTTACGGCGAGGCGTTTTCGCTTTGAATGTTGTCGAGCCGTGTAAACGACGAGGCGTTTTTGTTTTGAATGGTGCCGAGCCGTGAAAACGACGAGGCGGTTTGTTTTGAGTGGTGCCGAGCCGAGGCATTTTTGTTTTTGAATGGTGCCGAGCCGTGAAAACGACGAGGCGTTTTGTTTCGAGTGGTGCCGAGCCATGAGAATGACGAGGCGTTTTGCTTTTGTTAGCCAAGGATGAAGCGTTATCGAACCTGTCTAAGGACCGGTGTTCTCGAGTATGTTTATCCGAGTTTAAGAGTTTTACTTCGGTTTTAGAGAAAGCGATGTAGTCTCGACTTATATTCTCGTGTGCGATAGTAAACCGTGGCGACCTGATACGTTTTTGGTCTGATATTTGTATAGCGCGCTTTAATTTTTATCCGTAGAGGATGTAACTTGCACCCTCGTCCTAGGAAATGTGGTAAAAGTCTGTTTAGAGAACTTTGTACTTGTTGCCCCGTTGTGGCCAGCAACGAGACGAGGCGTTCGAAGGCTTAGTTTGCCGAACTAAAATTAAGGACCGTTAAAGGTCCGAGGTAATCAGGTCATGATATCATGCCGAAGTGGTGAGTTAAAGAATTCAAAAATCCGAGCTTGTTACAATGTGAAGCTAGCCGAAGCGAACCAGAAATCAAGGGTGAAAGTGAAATAAGTAGATGATTAAAAACGAACTGAGAATATGCCGAAGTGGCGACGTTCCTAAATGGGCAAGTCAAAATAATAGAGTTAAAAGAGGTATGTGTATACGTACCCACTACCCCCCTTTTTTAGGAGGGGGGACAGCTGAACCCGTCCGAAGACGGGCTGCCTACGTACCCTTTGCAGGGATCAAGCCGTCCCGTAGTTCATGCTGGCCGTGCTGTGGTTTTAGTGATAATACTTCTTTAGATGCATTGCGTTCCATGATCTTGGAATCGCTTCGTCAGCTAGTGTCGCGAGTTCGTAGACTCCTGGACGAACCACTTTTGTGACTTTGTAAGGACTTTCCCAATTTGCTCCGAGCTTTCCTGCGTTCTTCTCGGCTGTGTTTTGGAAGACATTTCGGAGGACGAGCTCCCCTGCTTTGAATCTTCGACTACGAACGTTTTTGTTGTAGTATCGCGCCGTTGCTTGTTGGTAGTTCTGGATTCGAACTAGGGCTTGGTCGTCGAGCTCATCTAGCATCATTAAGTGGTTCAAGCCCTCCTGCCCTGGTAGAAGTCTTCGTCGAATACCTGGGAAATCCACCTCGGGGGGAATTACGCACTCCGATCCGTAGACCAGAGCGAATGGAGTTTCCCCGGTGGCTCAGCGCGGAGTTGTCCGATGAGACCAAAGGACTCCTTCGAGTTCGTCTACCCATCGTCCCTTCTTGGCGTCGAGCCTCTTTTTCAGACCGTCGAGTATTGTTTTGTTGGCTGCTTCAGCTTGTCCGTTCCCTTGGGGGTATCTTGGCGTGGATTTGCTGAGGCGGATTTTCCACTTCTAGCAGAAGGCTTCAAAGCGTGTTGAGATGAACTGGGATCCGTTGTCCGTGACTATTTCGTAGGGGACCCCGTGTCGGCAGATGATATTTTTCCAGACGAAGTGTTCGACCTGAGCATCCTTTATGCTTGCATAGGAATCGGCTTCGACCCACTTGGAGAAGTAATCCGTGAGGACGAGCAGAAAACGCTTCTGCTTCGAGCGATGTAGAGGTCCGACGATGTCCATTGACCATCTCATGAACGGATAAGGCGACGAAATCGACGAGAGCAGCTCGGTAGGTTGATGAATCGTCGGGGCGTGCCGCTGACACTTCTCGCACTTAGCCGTAAATTTCTCGCAGTCCTTGATCATCGTGGGCCAGAAGTAGCCGTGCCGTTTTATCTTGATAGCGAGAGACCTTCCGCTGGAGTGGTTCCCGCACGCGCCGCTATGCACCTCGTGCATGATCCTTCTTGCCTCCAGTCCTTCAACGCATGTCATGAGAGGCCCTGAGAATCTCCATTTAAACACCTCGCCATCGACGAGGACGTATTGTGCGGCCTGAGATTTTAGTTTGCGGGCTTCCCATTTGTCAGTTGGCACCTCTCCATCGGCGATGTACATTCGGATAGCTCCGAGCCATTCTTTGTCGCAGCCGTATTCCGGCTCGGCTGGTGAGGCGTCTTCGTCCATTGGAATGGCTCCCACTTCTTCGATACTAGGACGTTCGATGAATTCGACTGGGATCGTCCGTCGGAGATCTGGGTCTGAGGTCGAAGCGAGTGCTGCCAAAGCGTCAGCCGAGGTGTTTTCTCCTCGGGGAATTCGCGTGAGGTCGAACTGGTCGAATTTTTGCACCAACTCTCGAACCACCTTGAGGTAAGCTCCCATCCGTCCATCCTTTGCCTCATATTCTCCGTTAAACTGGCATGCTACGAGCTGTGAATCACAAAAAGTCCTTATCTTTCGAACCCCGATTCACTGCGCTATTCGTATGCCAGCGATCAGTGCTTCGTATTCTGCTTCGTTATTCGAGGCGTGGAAGTTCAGGCGAAAAGACTGCTCTAATATTTCTCCGGTGGGAGAGGTGAGGCGGATTCCTATCCTCGAGCCGTGTCTAGATGACGAGCCGTCGACGTGCAATGTCCATACTTCGTCTAGAGTTGGCTCGTTTGTTGCTTCGGCCGGGAGTTCAATGAGAAAATCAGCGAGCCCTTGTGATTTTGCAGACGACCTATTTCGATACTCGATGTCGTATTCGCTCAACTCTATGGCCCACTTGGCGAGCCTACCGGATTGGCTTGGGCTGTGCAGGATCGAGCGCAGCGGAAGTGTGGCGAGCACAACAATCGAATGCGATTGAAAGTACGGGCGCAGCTTGCGAGCCGAGACTACGACGGCTAGGGCAACCTTCTCGAACTGGGGGTAGCGGGTCTCGGCGTCGGTCAGCGTCTGGCTGATGTAGAAAATGGGTTTTTGCTCGGATCGTTTTTCTCTGATTAGTACCCCACTCACAGCTGTAGCAGACACCGCGATGTGGAGGAAGAGCGGCTTTCCTTCGACCAATTTTGCTAAGATTGGTGGGCTTGCCAGATAAGTCTTCAATTCCTGGAAAGCCGTCTCGCATCGTTCGTCCCATTCAAATTTCTTGTTTCCTCTGAGGGTGTCGTAGAAGGGCAGGCATTTGTCCGTGGAACGGGAAATAAACATGTTTAGCGCGGCGACTCTTCCTGTTAGCCTTTGCACTTCGCGCTTCGTCCTTGGAGAGGGCATCTCAATTAACGCCTTAATCTGCTTGGGGTTCGCTTCTATGCCCCGATGGGTTACCAGATAGCCGAGGAATTCTCCCGAGGTGACCGTGAACCTGCACTTCGCCGGATTTAGCTTCATGTTGTGCTTGTTCAGCTGTTCGAAACATTCTTGTAGGTGCGCAACGTGGTCTTCCTCCTCGAGTGACTTGACTAACATATCGTCGATGTATACCTCCATAGTTTTTTCCGAGCTGAGCCGCAAACATTTTGTTGACGAGCCGTTGATATGTTGCTCCAGCGTTTTTGAGTCCAAACGGCATGACCTTGTAGCAATATATCCCGCGATCAGTTATGAATGCTGTTTTTTCCCGGTCGTCAGGGTGCATCAGAATCTGGTTGTAGTCGGAGAATGCATCCATAAATGTTAACAGTTTATTTCCTGCAGTGGCTTCGACGAGCCGATCGATGTGTGGCAAGGGAAAGCTGTCTTTTGGGCACGCCTTGTTGAGATCGGTGAAATCCACACAGACCCGCCACTTGCCGTTCTTCTTCTTTACAACCACCGGATTCGCGAGCCAGTCCGGATATTTGGCCTCGGCGATTGATCCTACCTTGAGTAATCTCTCGACTTCGTCGTTGACTGCTTTAGCTCGTTCTGGACCAAGCTTTCTTCTTTTCTGCTTGACTGGTTTAAAGGTCGGATCTACATTCAGCTCGTGACAGGTTACATTGATGCTGATGCCTGGCATATCTTCCGCCGTCCAGGCAAAGGTATCGATGTTTTCCTTGAGGAGGGAAAGGAGCTTGCTTCTCAGGGGCTCTCCTAGTTGTGTTCCAATTTCGACGCACCGTTCCGGATGCGCCTCGTCTATGCACACCGAGTCCACTGCGTCACATGTCGGCTCGGTGCGTGTTTCGCGGTTCTCCGCGATATGTAATTGCTATAAGAGTTTGGAGAGTTAATTCGCGGGCTCTCTGTCTGTCTTCATCTTTTTGCGGTCTATATCAGCTCGTGCGTCGGTGACGGGGTTCCTCAGTTTGTGCTCGGCTAGGCAGCACATTCGCGACTCCTTCTGATTCCCCCAGATCGTTTCGACGCCCGAAGGAGTTGGGAATTTGAGGCAGAGATGGTAGGTGGAGGGTACTGCCCGCATCCCGTTGATCCAGGGAGTTCCCATGAACACATTGTAGATTGCTGGGTGATCCGTGACGCAGAATTCGACGATCTTAGTGACTCCGCCAGCTACCACGGGAAGTCTGAGCGTTCCCATAGTCATCGTCGTTTCTCCTGAAAATCTGGTTAGAGGTTTGGGGATTGCTTCAACCTCGGAGAGGTCGATTCCCATTCTTCTGAGTGTTTCCCTGAAGATGACATTCACCGAGCTTCCAGTATCGATGAACACCCTTGCTACATCATGATCCCTGATCGTTAGCTGAATCACCAACGGATCGTTGTGAGGTCGATCGATTCCTGCCGTTTCTTCCTTGGCGAAAGAGATCATTGTGTTTGGGATGTCGGTTGGCTCTGTCCAATTCTCCTTTGCTTCGGCTCGACGCTGATAGGCTTTGATGGAGGACACGGTATCTTGGTAGTATTGAGATCCACCCATGATCATATTGATCCTTTGCCTCAGCTCGGTTCGCTCTTCAGGTTTGCCTCTCCTGTCGCACTTGGGATTATCGCCTCGTCGGGGAGGATTCGCTGGTTCCGCCGCGCCGATCGGCTCGGCTTTTTCTTGTTGTTCGTTAGGGACGAGGTCTTTGAGGCTGACCGCGTTTTGGAGCTCTCCTGCTGCCATTTTTGCTGCGAGCTTTGCTCCTAGAGTTCGGCATTGAGCCGTTGAGTGTCCATAGGTCTGGTGATACTCGCAGAAAGCCTTCTCGTCGTAGTTGGCGGACTTTCTCACCCAAGTGTTGTTGCGCGGCTCTCCTCTTCCGCGTCCGGAGCTGACCTGGTAGTTATGGGCACCTCCGCTCCTAGGTTCATCCGAACTCCTTGTTGTTGCATTGCTCGATGGATTGCCCTTCTTCGCGGGGTGCGGCAAAATTGAGCTTCGTATCGCTGCTTTCGTGGCTTCGTACTGCTCGTCCAAGTTTTTCATTTCCTCCTCGTTTACGACGAAGTCTGATGATCGGTGCAACGCGTCTTGAATCGTTTGCGGCGTATTGAGAGCCATCTCCCGGCGGAACTCAGATTTGTACCACAAAGATCGTTTCAGAGCCTCGAGCGCAGCCTTGTCGCTTATCCCTTCTATTTTGGATACGACTGCCTTGAATCGTGCCATATAATGCCGAAGTGGTTCATTCGGTCCTTGGGATAGTGTCCACAGGTCGGCATCAGATGTTCCTCTGTCCATAAACATCGAGTATTATTTAAGGAACAATGCGGAGAGCTGTTGGAAATTGCCGATCGAATTTCGTTCCTGCCTTTAGAACCACTTGAGTGCGGCTCCCTTGAGATGCTCCACGAAGAGCTGGCAGTATCCGGCGTCTACTTCGCGCTCGGTAAGTTTAGCGGCGTTCTTTGTGAAGGCTCGTCCCATTGCTATTTAAAACGTTTTGATGTGTGCTTTCGGGTCGGTTGTTCCTTCGTAGAACGGGATTCTCACCTTCCCCGGCTCGGGAATCCTGGCTTCCGTGATTCTTGCAGTAAACGGGGTTCTTTGAGTTTTTTCAAGCATTCGGTCGATTTCGGGCGCGGCACTTGTCGCGTTGTGCACTTGAGATTTCATGGCGGGTATTTCAGCCACTGTCCGAGCCATAGAGGCTCGCAGCACTTTAAGCTCGAGGGTTTGTGCGTGAGTCATTCCCTTTGATTGGGGGGTCCGCTCCCGCTCCTCTCGCCTCGGCTTGTCTTCGCGTTCTGCCTGCTCAATCCATTGGAGATTTTCTTCCACCTCGGCTGGGTTATCGCCGCGGGTTGGATCGGAGACTTCGTCAGTCCGGATGCCGTTCAGTGCCGAGGCGAGTTCTTTCTGACTAATTCGGCGAGCCGAGCCAGTTTGCTGCGGATTCATGGTCTCGTCGTTCTGCTGGGCATCTACGTCGATCGCATTGTCCCCTTCCTCACCGGCTCATTGCCTGGAGTTCCGGCGTAGTGGAGGCGGCTCGGTCATGTTGATTTGGGTTGCTGCGGGAGTACGTTCTTCAAGGGGACGAAGAAACGAGGAATTTCTTGCGCCACTCCCTGAGACTTCTGCGGGTGTCGAGAAATCGAAGCGTCTCCGAATTCCGTCCATCGGGTCGGGAATTCCGGCTCTCCAAGTCGAGTGTTGTCGTTTAGTCACCATCGCGTCGAGCCTCGCCGTAATTGCCTCGTTTCTTTTTGTCTTGGTCGTCAATTTTTTTCATCAACGCAGCTATCATGTATCGCATCTCCTCTTGGGTTTCGGTCCTCGCCGTCGTTGTGCCTGATGTTGGAGCGTCCTTCTCCGCGCCGTTACCGGTGTTGTTGGTATCATCGTTAGCGTTGCTCACCATGTTCTTCGGATCTTAAAGCCTTGTCGATTTAGAGTAAGAAAGTTTCGTTTCCCCACAGACGGCGCCAAATTGTGTGAGCCAAAACTCGCACAACCAGAAATTTGTCCAAGGAAAAATAAGGGATCGGAAACTTCTTGGGTTTATCGCCAAAAACAGTAAGATCGAAAGAAAGTTCTTCTTGCTGCAAAAGTGTTTAGCTCTTATTGCTTAGGGTTGTCAAAGTTGGCGGAATGAATTGCATACATCATATATTTATACTAACTTTCTAAACCGCCTAGCCGAAAATCTCGGGCGAGATTTTCGGAATATTTCCTTATCGCCTCGTGCGGCTGACCGCCTTTGCATCTCGCCTAGGGTTTTCCATGGGCTTCATCTCTCAAGGCTTTGGTTCGGCCCGTCCAAGCTTCTTTACGGCTCGGCCCATCTAGCTTTCTTCACGGCTCGGCCCACTTGCCATGGAGACATGATCTAGCCCACCGCACCGATACACGGCTCGGCCCAAAAGTGTTGAAGTGGGGCTCGGCCCATTTCTTTCGATGCGGCTCGGTCCACCTGTCTTCTTTCACGGCTCTCCCTACTGGCCTATCTGCACGGTTCTCCCATTTGTCTTGGTAAGAACGGCTCTCCACTTGTCATGGTGAGAACGGCTCTCCCACTTGGCGACCACGGCTCTCCCACTTGGCGACCACGGCTCTCCCACTTGGCGACCACGGCTCTCCCACTTATCTTTCTTCCATACTTAGCCATTCTGAGGTGGTTTATCTACTTGGGTGAAAACCGACCCCAACAGATGCTACATGAGTGCTCGCTGCTTGGATGGAACCATGTAGTATATTGTTCCACACTGTGTATTCCTCAGTAACCGCTGTTGGAAATCAATCTAAAGTTCCACATCGGAAATTTAGACTAATATGGTCTAGTATATAAGTAATGTCCAACTCCAATTAGTATGAAGCCTTTTGGGAAAAAGCCCAAAATCAAATCCGTGCAGGCTTTGTCAGTTAGACCCAAAGCAGACAATATCATACTAATTGGAGAGTTGGATATGAGCTTAGAAAAGCTAAATAAATGGTATCAGAGCCAGGTTAAGGAAAAATGGACCTGGAGAAGTTGGGTTGGGATGAATGTTTGTTGTGAGAGAAAAAAACCCTCAAAGTAACTTTGCGATTAAGATGTACAAGATGTGTATAAGGTATCACTGTAGGTTGGAGACCAAGAGTTAATATGGTATTTGGTTTGAGGAGGAGATTGTTGGGAAACAATACAAAGTCCCATATCAGAAGTTTAGACCAATATGGTCTAGTATATAAGTAATGTCCAACTCCAATTAGTATGAAGCTTTTTAGAAAGGAGCCCAAAATCAAATCCGTGCGGGCTTTGTCAGTTGAGCCAAAAGCGGACAATATCATATTAATTGGGAAGTTGGACATGGGCTTAAAAAAGCCCAATAAATGGTATCAGAGCCAGGTTTTGGAAAAGGTGGACCTTGGAAAAGTGGGTGAGGGCTGTGTGTTCAGTGTGGGAGAGAGAACCCTCAAGGTGACCTTGCGATAGGGGTACTGGTGCCTTGTATCAAAAGTCTTCTTAACGGTTGCGCAAGGATTAGGAGAAGAGTTTTGTTGGTGCGTACGACGGTACAAGATGGGTGCCAAGTTTCGCAGGAGGTTGGAAGGCCACAAGTTTGTGTGGTTCTTAGTTTGAGGGAGCGATTGTTGGGATATCAATCCAAGTCTCACATCGGAAGTTTAGACCAATATGGTCTAGTATATAAACAAGATGTTTAACAGTTTAGTATGAAGCCTTTTGAGAAGGAGCCCAAAATCAAATCCGCGCGGGCTTTGTCAGTTGGGCCCAAAACAGATAATTTCATACTAATTGGGGAGTTGGACATGGGCTTAGAAAGCCCAATAAATGGTATCGGAGGTAACTTTGCGATTAAGATGTACAAGATGTATAAAGTATCGCTGTAGGATGGAGACCAAGAGTTAATATGGTCTTTGGTTTGAGGGGGAGATTGTTGGGAATCAATCCAAAGTCTCACATCGGAAATTTAGACCAATATGGTCTAGTCTATAAGTAATGTCGAACTCCAATTAGTATGAGTCCTTTTGGAATAGAGTCCAAAATTAAATCCGTGCGGGCTTTGTCAGTTGGACCCAAAACGGACAATATCATACTAATTGGAGAGTTGGATATGGGCTTAGAAAAGCTAAGTAACCACACTTGTTTTATGTGATACATTTTTTAAACCGCGCTGTATTAAAACTGTACCACACCTGTTTAACTGCTTATCATGAACCACCTAAATCACTGTCACCATTTGAAATCTGAGATGACAACACAACACATGTGTTTCTTCTATCTCATTATGCTTTTTAGGCCATTACTCAAGATGTCGAACTTATTTTCCCTCTTATTGTTACTTTCTTCAAGATGGGTAGAGGGATTTACATCCAATTTTCTGGAGGAATTGCTTTTTCATTTTGGAGAAGAAAGACCCATACCTCTTTGGAGCATGAAAATCAGGATGAGAAGATGAAGTCGTTAGAAGAACGTTGGAGGAAAATTCACAAAAGAGGCCCATTGATCCACATATGCTTAACTCAGTGGTTGAAGTCTTCACTGCTTACACATAATATTTGCAAATGCAGTTCTTGGCAGACTCGTCCAAAAGTTACAGCTGTAGCCTCTGATAAAAATTTCTTTGTTTTATTTATTTTTAGTTTTCAAAGTTAGAATTTATAACGATCGGCAAAATGTGTTTTGCGTGTTGTGCTTAAATATATTTATGTGGGTTAGGATTTGCAATCTGAGACCAAAAAATAAGAAATAAGTTTCTCGATCTAAAAATCCTACTGTGGATACCAGTGGCGGAGCCAGAAATCCTATCGGGTCAAGGAAGACATCAAACATAAAAGTAAGGGGTCAATCAAAAAGTTTTCAACAATTCTTCTATGAATAACATGCATTAGTAAACTCTAAGTTCTAATTTTTGTAATTTAACCGGGGTCAATTGACCCCCTTAACTCCAATGTAGCTCTGCCACTGGTGGATACGAAGCAAGGGTAAACATAGACTTAGCAGATGATCTTGAGAAAAGAAAAATCACCTAAAATAACCTGGTTCATTGACAATGGCGTTTGTACGCCATTACAGCGAAAATCCGAAAAGAGGGAGTATGTATGAAAAAGAAATATTTTCTGAATACTGAGTATCAGTGGCTGTAGGCCTTACATATCACATGTTATTCACAAAATGACAAAGGAATAGCTCAACCGGATAAGTAGGATGAAATGAAATGATTAATTTGATTTGTAGAGTACGTAAATGATCAATTTGATTCATTATGATTTTGGGATACGAGTGATATATACTAAATGAATTGGAGTTAGAGATAGTTTGTTTGATGGAACTGGTGAAAATGAGACTGAAAAAACTGTTCTAAATCTTTGGCTTTGAATTTTATAATTTCTTTTATGTTTAAATAAATTATTTAATAATTGTTTAACCATAAAGCGAATTAAAGAATTATATAGTCACAAAACATACATATATTTTTTAGAGTAATTAAGTTCAATATTCATAAATGAACGTAAAATTGAGGATATAACCAAGGACCCACCAAAATTGAAAGTAACTATTTCGATGGTTATCAGCAATTACTCTTATACCTTTGATAACATTTTTCAATTTCACTTAGAAAAAATCTATTTGTGTTCGACTTTGTCTCTTTCTCTTTCATACAACTTTTCTTTTTCTTCTTATTCTTTTTTTTTTCTATTGAACACACATATGAATCTAATTTAAAAATAGAGATGAATTTGATAAATTTTTGTACACAAAACCTCTTTTTTTACTGATGGAAATCTAACAATACCCATATAGCCATAGTTCTGGTGACGGTGACGGTGCCAACATCGACCACGGTTGTTATAACTATGAAGAATTACACGTTTTTGGTAACTTGGTACAAGTTTTTGTAGCTTGATAAAATTATTTTATTATGTTCAGTTATTATATTTACATCTAACATTATATTTAATCCGATATAAAATATATTAGATTGATAACAATAATTTTACACGATGTTAAAATATTTATTATACTAGGTAAATATTAAAATGTATCACTAACTTTATATTTAACAAGGTAACTCAATTGTTGAAGATAAGTTGTTGTTATACCACATCATTGTTAAACATTTATGTGTACCTCTACAGTTTTGTTTATCTTGATAACTCAGATGTTTTATGTTAATATTTATGTTTTTTACTAAAATATACATATATATATATGTATCGAATTATATGTATTTTTAACATATAGGTATTCAAATTATGAGATCCATGTCATTCGACATCATATTGAGAATTAGACTCACATTTGTTCCAGAAACCATCGCCAAAAAAATACTGTAGAAAAGTTCATTAATTGTGTTATTATTGTATACACCACTGCAATTATCACCTAGATTTGTGCCTTCACCTATTTTTGCCATCATCATGCATCATGCCCAAACCCAGATTTTTGGTGTTCACCTCTCCAAAATACATAATGTCCATTTTCAATTTTTAGTTCGTGTGAGTGAAAAAATTGGAGAATTGGAGAATTGAAGAAGAAAAATAATAAAAAAGAAAGAAAAAGAAACATATTGGAAGATAATATGGGATTATGAAAAATTGAACAGTAGTCATAATAATATTTGGTTAGATTTGCAAATACGAAATTATTTTGCGTTAAAGCATGCAAATTCTCTATTTTTAAATTAATTTTGCATAAAATACATCACTTAATTTGAAAAACATAACTCCAAAAGCGATCTTTTCTTCCCTTACATGTACTCTAAAAGCATAATTTATTGTCTAAGGAAGAGTCTATATTTTAAACATATTATGATATTATGTATTGGATTTGTAATGATTTAAAATTGTATTTTTTATTAACAGCGAATTGTTTAATGTTTCATTACATATTTTATTATATAAATAGTTTGTCGTTTTTATTATTATATATATATATATGTGTATTCAAGATATTTGCATATTATATATATATATAAATATATAAATGTTATTTCCATGTTTAGAAACGTTTTGTTTCCATAAATATTTTTCTCTTTGTGCAACTTATGGTTTTGGTGTTTTTTGTTTGTTTTTTTTATTAATAAAAAGTCCATTTTGACCCTTTTTGAAGAGTAGTTTTAAGATTTGACATAAATAAAAAAAAAATCAAAATCCGTGGAAAGCAATTTTGTCAAAAAAAAAAAAAAAAATCCTTGGAAAACAAGGGAAAATGAAGGTACAAAAATCTGGTGTGCAGGCACAGGTTTAGAGGACACTGGGGCACTTCGTCCGCGCGATAATTTTACATCTGATCGCAAAGATGCAGAGATTCTTGTTTAGCCAAGCTAAAAGCGTCCTGGACCAAACTCATCGTCAACATCACACAAGCCGACGCTTTCTCTCTCTTCTTCCATCTCTATTTCCTCCTCTTCTGTCTCTGTCTCGTTTTACTTCAAAGATGGCTGCTTCTGATTTCACTTCCTCTCTTCCTGTTACTCTTGACTCCATCAATCCTAAGGTGGTTTCGAATTCATTACTTTTTTTACTTTGTTTTGTCTGATTAATTTACTGTCTGAAACATGGGTTTCTGTATTTTTGTCTGATTCATTGATTTGTCTGATTCATTAGCTATTTGATTTCTCGGATTACTGTTTGAAATGTAGGTTTCTGTGATTTTGTCGGATTCCTGTTTGAAATGTTGGGTTTTGTCCGATTCATTAGTCATTTGATTATGTGATTTCCCTGATTCATTAGCTATTTGTTAGTCGGATTACTGTTTGAAATGAAATTAATGAATTTCATATTAAAAATTGTTCCTTTTTCCTCTCGATATTGCTTGCAGATTCCAGCATTTCTCAGGGCAGAGATACATGTGCTTTGTCTAGTAAAAAATCACTGAGAAAAATCTGTAAAGCTAATTGATTTTTATGTTTCGCCTTTTGCTTCCATCTTACAGAAGTTGCAACAAAACCTGAAGTCTAATAAGGATTCTTATCCTTTTGATGAGGTAAGAATCTCCTTCACCAATTCAGCATTTTCATATTCTCTTATGTGTGTATTCTTCGAGATGATCGGCACTTACTTTTGATATGTGTTTCACTACATAGAGTATATAGTTTTAGTGTTGATCTTACATGCTCTCTAACTCTTTATAATTCCAAACAAGAGAGAAACTTACAGTCTTAAGCTTTGATATGTACAAGTCGTAAACTCTGTAGTGTTGATATGTATAATGTTCATAAGCTTTACAATGAATGTTCAGATTCTTGAAGAGGCTCTTAACAACTTAGAAGGCGTAACATGTAACAGAGCCGGAGAAGCCATGCATCTCTTTCCTCGAATTAATCTTCCTAAAAGGACGATTGAAGCCGCAGAGACCGCAAAAACAGCACCTGATGCGTTCTACCGCAAACGCCTTCTCAACTCCACTGGAATAGTTGTTGTCCCTGGTTCTCGCTTCGGACAGGTAAATAGAAACAAATCTTCACTAAATGAATGTTTTCAATAAAAGTTGAATCTGTGTGTGTATGTGTTTTTCTTTTGCTAAGAATGTCAATATCTTTGTGTTGTTTTGTTTTACATTCACTTTTGGTTAGGTTCTTGGAACATGGCACTTCAGAAGCAATATACTTCCGCAAGAAGACAAGATTCCGGCGAGTCGTTTCAGAGAGTTGCACAAGACTTCCATCAACGATACCCCAAAAAGAACAAAGTCCCAAAAGAGTTCCATCAACGATACCCCTAAAAGAACAAAGTCCCAGAAGAGTTCCACCAAAGATAAACCAAAAAGAACAAAATCCCACAAGAGTTCCATCAACGATAACCTCAAAAGAACAAAGTTTCAGAAACATCATCGAGGAAGAGTTAAAGGACTATCTTCTCATGGGAATCATTTTGGCAGATATGCTCTTCAAACACTTGAACCCGCTTGGATCACATCTAGACAAATAGAAGCAGGGAGAAGAGCAATGGTACGAAATGTACAGCGTGGCGAAAAGATTTGGGTACGTATATTTGCAGACAAACCAGTTACCGTAAAACCCACGGAAACACGTATGGGTCGTGGGAAAGGATCACCAGCGTTTAGGGTAGCTGTGGTTAAACCCGGTAAAATCATTTATGAAATGGGTGGTGTACCTGAAAATATAGCCAGAAAAGCTATTTCAATAGCGGCATCAAAAATGCCTATAAAAACCAAATTCATTATTTCTGAATAAGAAAATAGGAGGAAAATAAATGGATTTGATATTCTGTTAGTGAGTAAGGCTTATGTAATAATTTGTTTTTGAAGTTTATGTAACAACTTTGAAAAGTTGTTTTTATATCAATGAATTTGTTTAGTCAAGATAAAATATCATCATCTCTCTCTCACAGACTCATCTTGCTATATGTGTGTCTTTTGTTGTTGGTTTAGGGATTTGTGAGATTTAAATCAGACCACTGTGAATTTGGACATAAGATATATTTTGTGAGAGGTGGTCAACCTGATTTTATGAGGAAATTGCAGGTAGTGACTTTTAAGGAGAATACGCGTAAATTTATGGCAAATGAGGCTAAACGAGTTAAAAAATTGAAAGCTAGAGAGATGGCATTAGTGGATGGCTTGCGTTATTTACGATTTTGAGGCTTCTTTAGTAGGCTCAAAGCTGGTTGCTAAGCTAGCTTTTCATGAATAAACAAGCTTTACATGAGTTTGTTGTTTGTTGCTGTTTCATTTCTTTCTTTTATCAAATATCAATACTTTGGTGGCTTTTGTTGAGATGAAAAAAAAATGACATGATTCTACCATAAACCTATTTGAATGTAGGAGACAATATGGGGGTTCGAGAATTGATGTGTCTGAGAATAATAGGAGCTAGTAATCGCCACTATTCTCATATTTTTTTTTTTTTTTGCTCAAAATCTCATTCATTAATCCTCAAGTATTTTTACAAAGCTTTCTTATCAGCCTCTATAAAAGGATTTATCCAACAAGGCATAATAGAATACAGCTTAGGGACATTAATCATAAAAGAAGAAGTTTCCTGAGCTATTCTATGAGCCACTCTATTACCATCTCTAGGGGAAAAGACAAGATGATGATCTTGAAACTTTGAGAGAAAAGCTTTAATGTCCTGCTGAAACATACTTAGACAAGACCATAAATTTTTTTCCTGTAAAGCATCCACCAGGCCTTTGGAATCTGTTTCAAAGATAACCTTTGAGTAATTAAGATTGTTAACCATAAGTATCGCCCATCTAAGTGCTTTAGCCTCAGCTTCAAGAACCGATCCCATCTGGTGGAGAGCTTTTCCCCCTATCCAAACCGCATTTCCATGACAATCTCTTAAGGCCCAACCAATACCACACCGATCACCATTCAACCTCCATGCAGCATCAACATTACACTTAACCCAGTTTGGCGGTGGTGGAGTCCATTTAGGGTGAGGCATGGTTCGGGCAATTGTCTTTGGTCTCTCATCTTCAACCTCTAATCTTGATTGCCATTCTTCAGCATCATCCAAAGCCTTTTTCACTAGATCCTGAGCTCCAAGTTCCTTTCCATTAAAGAGAAGATCATTTCGATTTTTCCATAACCTCCACATGATCCATGGTACAACTTTCACAGCATCAGTCGCTAACAGCTGTTCATTTGCAATGTTGAAAACTCTGTAAAAGTTGGTGAAAAAGGATTCAGACATCTCACCATTTCTTGGTGAAGGGACTGAAGAGGCGGCCCAAACCAATCTAGCAAAAGGGCATGTGAACATCAAGTGATTAACTGTTTCCTCCCCATCTTGACATCTAATGCAGGCAGAGTCTTTTGCCATATGTCGATACTTGAGATTTGCAGCAACAGAGATCGCATTGCAAAGACACTTCCATAAAAAATGTTGCACTTTAGGACTTGTATCAGCTTTCCAAACGATTTGGAATAGGGGTTCAATGCTTGGTTGGTTCGCCTCATTGGGGTCACTAATCTGCTTCACTATATTTCGCAAAACCCAATACCCAGATTTAACTGTATACCTTCCATCCTTAGTAAAGTCCCAACTATAGTTGTCTTCGCAAGTAGTTCCTCCAAGTCTAATTCTCAGAATGCAATTAACATCTTCTTCGAAGAAATAAGAGTGCAAGAGATCCAGATTCCAATCTCTAGTTCCAGAGGGTAAGAGTTCACTAACCGTAGAGATTTTGGCAAGATTTCGACTAAGATGTTGAGGAACCCATTGCACTCTAGTGATGGCTCTAGCTGGTTTCCTGTCAATCCAATGATCGAGCCAAATACTGGTGTTACAACCATTCCCAATGATGGCTCTTGCTCCACTTTTAATCAGGTCTTGTGCTGCCATGATGCTTTTCCAATCAAAAGAAGGCCGAGATCCAAAGGTTGCATTTAGCGGGTTTGAATTCCTGAAGTATCGCGCCTTAAATACTCTAGCAAGAAGAGTATCCTTTTGTGTGAGCATTCTCCATAGTTGTTTTCCCAAGAGAGCAAGGTTGAAGTCTTCGGTCCTTAAATCCAAGACCCCCTTTATCTTTTGATTTGCTCAAACATTCCCAAGACCTCCAATGCAAACCCCTTCTATCCTTGTCAGTTTTCCACCAGAAATCAGCCATGATTCTCACAATTTCCTTACAAACCGTCTTCGGAAGCAGAAAGCAGCCCATTGTATATGTGGGCAGTGCAAGGGCAACAGCTTTCAGAAGTGTTTCTTTACCCGCAAAGGAGAGAAAGTTATTTTGCCATCCTGAAACCTTGTTCTGCATTTTGTCTCTCAGATAACTGAATATCGAGACTTTGGACCCTCCAAAGGATTCTGGCAAGCCTAGATAAACACCATCTCCACCTTCTTGATCAATGCCCAACTTCCTATTCACCTCCTCTCTTGTTTCAATGGGGATTTTCTTGCCAAAACAAATACTAGATTTTTGGTAGTTTATTCTTTGACCTGAGGCAAGACAGTAATCATCAAGAATTCCCCTTACTTGAGTGAGTTCAGTATCTTCTACTTTGCAATAGAACAAACTATCGTCTGCGAAGAGGAGATGAGAGACAGGAGGGGCAGTTCTAGCAACTTTTAGGCCTGAGATTCGTCCTTCCTCTTCAGCTTTTTTCATCATTCTCACCAAGATTTCCGTGCATATAACAAAGAGATAAGGCGAGAGCGGATCCCCTTGCCTAATGCCTCTCGTAGGTTGGACATTCCCATAAGGTTGACCGTTAATCAGTACCTGATATGAAATCGACGTCACACAACTCATAATTAGTCAAATCCATTCCTCTTTGTAACCGAGAATCTGCATTGCCTTTCTGAGGAAAGTCCATTCAACTCGATCAAACGCCTTAGAGATGTCAGTCTTGATTGCAATGAACTCTTCAGCACACTTGTTATTTGATCTTAGGGCGTGAAGCAACTCATGAGCAACAAGTATGTTATCTGTTATGAGTCTTCCCTTGACAAATGCTGCTTGGGTATCTGAAATAATGTTGGGAAGAGTTTTCTTAAGTCTCGACGCCAAGACTTTTGCAATGATTTTGTATGCAACATTGCTTAGATTGATAAGCCGGAATTCAGTCATTTTGTTCGCATTCAGCTTCTTGGGGACTAAACATATGTTTGTCTTGTTGATCTCACTACCAAGAGTCGCAGATGCAAAAAAATCCTGAACCATTTCAAAGATATCATCTCCAATAGAATCCCAGAATTGCTGGAAGAAATGACCACTCATACCATATGGCCCCGGGCATTTAGAGGGATTTATATCAAAAACCGCATGTCTGACTTCTTCAAGTGAGACAGGCGCCACTATTCTCATATAGGTGCTGTAAACGAGGAATCAATACTAAATATAATATTCATTGTTGGGGTCGGTTTCCACCCCACACAGATAAAACCATCCCAATATAACTAAGCATAGAAAATGGGAGAGCCGTGGCCATCAAATGGGAGAGCCGTTCTCACCAAGGCAAGAAGGAGAGCCGTTTCCACCAAGAAAGGCGGGAGAGCCGCGATCGCCAAGTGGGAGAGCCGAGAAGAAGGAGATGGGCCGAGCCGTATAACATAAAATGGACCGAGCCCCTGTCTTAAACACTTGGGCCGAGCCGTGCCGCGGTGAGGTGGAGCGAATCATGTCAAGCGGGCCGAGCCGTGGAGAAACTAGGCGGGCCGAGCTGTAACGAAGGCAATATGGGCTGAGCCGTAAAAAAGCATGATGGGCCGAACCGGAGCTTTGAGAGGTGAAGCCCACGGAAAATCCTAGGCGAGATGCAAAGGCGGTCAGCCGCACGAGGCGATAAGGAAATATTCCGAAAACCTCGCCCGAGATTTTCGGCTAGGCGGTTTAAGAAGTCAGTATAAATATATGATGTATGTAATTCATTCGGGGAGGAACTTTTGCAAACCTAAGCAATAAGAGCTAAACACCTTCACAGCAAGAAAAAACTCTCTTTTGATCTTACCGTCTTTGGCGATAAACCCTAGAAGTTTCCGATCCCTTAGTTTCTTTACAAATCTTTGGTTGTGCGAGTTTTGGCTCACACAATTTGGCGCCGTCTGTGGGGAACACGAAACTTTCTTACTCTATATCGACAAAGCTTTAAGATTCAAAGAACATGGCGAGCAACGCTGACGACGACAACAACAACACCGGTAACGGCGCGGATAAGGACGCTCCAGGATCAGGCACAACGACCGCGCCGACAACGACAGCGACGACCGAGACCCATGAGGAGATGCGATACATGATAGCTGCGTTGATGAAAAAGATCGATGACCAAGACAAAAGAAACGAGGCGATTACGGCGAGGCTCGACGCAATGGCAGCAGAACGACAGCATCCGACTTGGAGAGCCGGAATCAACGACCCGACGGACGGAATTCGGAGACGCTTCGACTTCTCGACGCCCGCCGAAGCCTCAGGGAGTGGTGCAAGAAACTCCTCTTTTCTTCGTCCCCTCGACGAACGCACTCCTGCAGCAACCCGAATCAATATGACCGAGCCGCCTCCAGTACGCCGCAACTCCAGGCAACGAGCCGACGAGGAAGGAGACGACGTGATCGATGTAGACGCCCAGCAAAACAACGAGACCATAAACCCGCAACAAACTGGCTCGGCTCGTCGAATCAGTGAAGAAGAACTCGCCTCGGCACTGAACGGCATCCGGACTGACGAAGTCTCCGATCCAGCCCGAGGCGATAACCCAACCGAAGCAGACGAATATCCCCAATGGAACGAGCAGGAAGAGCGCGAAGACGAGCCGAGGCGAAAGGAGCGGGAGCGACTCCCCCAATCAAAGGG